ATGATTGTTGTAACCGCCTGCCAGAGCTGCTATGGGACCACTGCCACCTGGATGATAAGATTCACGCACTACATGTGATTCTAGGGGTATGAGGGGTATTTTGCACCCAACAACCTCATCATTACCCCTATATATTTTTATTATATATTACACCTCATGGGAGAGAGGAAGAGGAACACGTGAAGAGGAGGCACACACATAGAGCAGAAAAATTCCATTTTTATTTTTATTCCTTTTCTTCTTCCTTGGGTTTTCCTCCATTGATTAAGCTCCAAGGAGTGGCGAGCTAAGTGTCGAGAGGAGCTAGCGAGCTAAGGTGATTTGTGGTGGCCGAGAAGACCTTCGGTGGCGCGTCGAAGGCTACTTCTCACTTCCCTTTTTGCTACTATTTTTCTACTTATTTGTGGGTTGTTGGAACAAATTTTTGCATGACTTTGAGTTTGGATATTTCGAACCCCACCATGAACTAACTTATTTGGTGGTGGTTGGTTTAATGGATATTTAGACTTTATTTTAATGGTATGTTTAAGTTTATTTTGGTTCTTTATTTGCTTTGCTTATGAATGATTCACCATCTAGGCTTGTAAGAGGCGTGGAAATATCCATTTCTTAGATGAAGTTTAGGTATTCGGGAGAAACCTAAGCTAAAAATACTTGTAAGTATTCGAGAGAACCACAAGACAAGATCCTCATAAGCAATGGGTTAGAGTATTTTCAAGGGGCTTTGAACCGTCCTAGGGATATTATAACCTAATCCCTTAGATCTCGGAATAGACTAGGATAGGATTTCAACGACTAAAAAGTGTGTCTTTATCAATAGGATAGGCTGGCCAACATCGTTGAGTGAGATAAGATGCCTTGGCATCCTATTCTGTTAGGTTCTTTTGAGAACATTTTAGGAAATCCCTGTCGAGCAAGTAAAGATTAGATAGCTTGAATATGCCTGAGGAATATGTTTAGCATCCTTAAATCAATCCCTATCATTCATTCCATTAGAAGCTTGTCACGTGAGGATTATCTTCTTTTTATTTTATTTACTTTTTATTTACCATCTTCTATTACCTCGACATTGCACCATTTTCAACACTAAACATCTTATCTTGCCACTGCATTTCCATCTGCTACACCATCAAACCATTCATCTGCATCCATCAGTATACACATTTTCATTTATCGTGACATTTATATATATAAAGACTAACTATACATAGATAGATTAGTGCTTAGCTTTGGTTAGACTTTTGTAATTTCACTCAATCCCTGTGGAGACGATACTCACTCATCATTATATTACTTGAACGATTGTGTATACTTGCACATTATTTGCGTATATTTTATAATACTCACACACGCGGACAAACAACAATATAACAAAATCGTTATCACCAGACCTCTTGAAATAAGCACAAGGGTCTGCATTAAGTCTGTTGTATCAAAGGCACATAATGAAGGAATCAAATCTCTTATACCAACACCTCGGCGCCTGCTTTAAACCGTACAGAGATTTGTTCAACCTGCAAACCAAGTTCTTCTTTTCTTTTTCTTTAAAACCTTCAGGCTGGAGCATGTAAATCTCTTCTTCAAGATTTCCATGAAGAAAAGTTGTTTTAACATCTAACTGCTCTAGATGTAAGTTTAATGTAGCACATATTGCCAAAACTACTAGAACTGTTGTTAGTCGAACCACAGGAGAAAATATTTCATTGAAATCAATACCTTCTTTTTTAGCATATCCTTTCTTTCACGATACCTCTCCACTTGATCGTCACCATTTCGCTTGATTTTGAAGACCCATTTGTTACCAATTGGCTTCCTTCCTTGTGGTAGTGGCACAAGGTCCCATGTATTATTTATATGAAGGGCTTCAATTTCTTCTTGCATCGTCATCATCCACGGTGAAGCATCTGAGCTGTTTATTGCCTTATGGTATGTTGATGGCTTAACGTTCTCTATTAAAAGGCAGTATGCAATATTACCTTCTATAACATAATCTGAGTGTCAATTGGGACGTCTTCTCACACGATCTGGTTGACGAGTTATTGGAGCTTCAGAACTCTCTGGTTCTTGTTCATCATGTGTTGGTTCTACTTCAGAAGAATCTCTTTTTTCAAACTCCTTTTCCACATATATATGTGTAGTCTCTGACTTTTCAGTGCTATCATCGTCTTCTTTTCTTTGTAGTTTATATTCTACAAAGATAACATCTCTGCTAATGATCACTTTGCGGGTTGTGGGATCTCACAAGCGATACCCCTTTACTCCATCAGTATACCCCAAGAATTTGCATTTCCTGGATTTTGGATCCAACTTTGAAATTTCTTGGGAGTTGTACATTACGTACACAATACTTCCAAATACATAGAGGTTTGAATAATCAGTTGGTTTACTAGTCCACATCTCCATTGGTGTCTTCAGCTCTATTGCAGTTGATGGAGCTCGATTCACCAAATAACAGGCGGTATTGACTGCTTCTGCCCAGAATGATTTTTCTAAGCCTGCATCCCTCAACATTGCTCTTGTTTTTCCTAACAAGGTTTTGTTCATCCGCTCTGCCACTCTATTTTATTGAGGAGTGTTCGCCAATGTGAACTGTCTTTTGATGCATTCTTTCCTGCAAAAGTCATCAAATTCTTCGCTTGTGTATTCTCCTCCATTATCTGTTCTGAAACACTTGATCTTATTTCCATAATCAAGTTCCACCCGCACTTTGAAGTTTTTGAAATTGGAAAACACATCTGACTTCTTCTTAATAGGGTACACCCAACATCTCCTGGAGTTGTCATCAATAAATGAGACAAAATATTTTTCTCCACCTAGGGATATAACTGGTGTTTGCCATACGTCAGAGTGAACCAATTCTAGAACACTTTTGCCTCTAGAATTTGATGTGTTAAATTTCAACTGGTGTTGCTTACTTGTTATGCAAAGCTCACACAAAGTAAGTGATACCTTTGTTAAGCCTGGAAGTAGCTTTTGCTCCACAAGGACTTTCATTCCTTGTTATGACATGTGTCCCAGTTTCTGATGCCATAACATTGTAGAATTTAAACTACATGAGGCAACAGAGGCTTCTGCTTCTAGCAAAGTTTCTCCCTTCAACATGTACAAGTTTGCTGCTATCTTTTCGCCTTTCAACACCACAAGCGCTCCACAGAACACCTTCATGATTCATTTTTGTGTTTCAATCTTGCTTGCATTATTATCCAACAATCCGTATGATAATAAATTTTTCTTCAGGCCTTTCATGTGCCGCACATCTCGAACAACTTTAATTGTTCCATCATACATCTTCAATTTGATGGTTCCCACGCCAACGATATCTAAGGCATGATCATTGCAGCTATACACAGATCCTCCTGAGACATATTCATAATGATGGAACCATTCTCTTCTTGAGGTTATGTGATATGTTGCTTCCGAATCAATGAGTCATATATCTGCAAATCTTTTTCTGCCTTCCACGGTGGTTGATACTTCACAGCATAGAGCATCTCCATCATCTGAAGTGTTTGCGGTATTGCCTTGTGGATTGGAGTTTTTATTTAGACTCCAACAATCCTTCTTCAAGTGACCCTTCTTTCCACAATTGTAACACTTTAAATTCTTCTTGCTCCTCGACTTCGATCTACCATGTTTTTGACTGCTGCTTTAGCCACGTTCTGTTGATCTCCCTCTCGTCGTTGTCAACGCTTCTGCTTGTTGCAGATTTACTTTTCTGTCTTCCTTGTTCTTGCGCCGATTTTCTTCTTGTAGAATAGCAGCTGCAACGTCATCGAAGACTAGACTGATGACATTATTGTATCTCAAGTTGATGATGAGTTGATCATACGAATCTGGTAGACTTTGAAGTAGAAGTTCAACACGTTCTTATTCTCCTATTTTACAGCTTAAGGATGTAAGCTGAGAAAATAAAGTGTTCTGTGTATTTAAGTGTTCTGTCACTGAAGTAGATTCTGGTATACAAAGAGTGTAAAATTTTCTCTTAAGGAAAATTTTATTGTACATCGATGTGGCCTCATACAGTTTGGTGAGATGATCTCATATCTCCTTAGTTGTATTCTTCTCCTCGATGCTTGACAATACTTCATCTGCTAATGCTAGATGAAAGTTTGTCATAGCATTCCCGTCCATTTCAATCCATTTGTTGTCATCTGTGAAATCTGGCCTTTCACTGATACCTGCTAGACAACCGTCTTTCCTCATGACAGCCTTCATCTTCAATTTCCACAATGAGAAATTTCTCCCATTGAATTTTTCAATATCAAATTTCGTTGCCATAACTTCTATTACATATAGCTCACACTATTTCACTATCGTGAATACTTCTCTGGAACCTTCAAATAATGAGTAATATCTTCTTACTTTCTTATGTTGGAGGATTCACCTTTTGGTGGCAACCCAAAGACAATAAGCAAATATTACACACTCTAATTTGGCTCGGATATCAATTGTTGCGGAAGACGGCTATCGGATAGAGCAAAATCGCAACTGATAATTTGAGAAAATAAAAATGAAGATAAAAGAGACACAAAATTTACGTGGAAAACCCCTAAATAATATAGGGTAAAAACCACAGGCAACGGTAAAAGAATTTCACTATGAGAAAATATGAATTACAACTTCTCTCGATCGACCAAGGAGAAAACAATGATAATTCTCTCTTGATAAAAAAGATAAAACAACTCTCAAGAAACTCTCTAAATTCTCTATTGTATTGGAAGAAAACTAGAATGATTTAGGATGTTTTTGAAGTTAAATGAGTTAGGGTATTTATAGTTCAAACTTAAGGACTAATTTGTAAATACCCTAAATTAAAATGACTAAAATTACATTTCTACCATTGCTAATTTTCAACACAAAATCACCTTTTTGACATTTGCCATTCGATGCATTAATTGCACCGAAATGGCATGACTTTCAACACATGTTGTAGATTTCAATCCTCCATCAAACGTACTTGTCCATATTTAAGGAAAAAAACACAAGCATTAGCATGCATATAATCTCAAAGCTTGATTCGTCTCATAATTATTATTCAATGCTTGCATATTGTTTCAAGTAACACGATTCTCTCTGTGGTTAATCTATGGTGACGATGTTGGCACCACATAATCGACAACAACGACACCATCTAAATTGTCCCTGATATTTTGCTTCTGTAGGTTGGCGTACTCTTCCCTTCCCACTGCTGCCTCCATTTCTTCAACTCCAGCAAAAACAGCGAGCGAGGCAAGTGAAAAGCCCTTAGCTCTTGCTGAGAAATTCTCCCCGCAAGTTATCTGTTGAACACCAGATATCCCTTTGATTTCCCCTACAATCTCACCTCGCACTTCATTCTGAACCTTCTCTTTGAGTTTCAACAAGGTTACTTTGATGGCAGAACCGGGGGGCGGGGACAGGGGGGTGGGATCATTATCAGCTACCCAATCAACAGCCATAATATCATCACAAATAGGAACGACATTTTCCTTGACTACACGCTGGTGATCAGGATGTACGCCGTATGCGTTCAAATCCTCTTTGGATTTGTATCGGCCATGGAGCATGTGGGTGAAATTGGAGACCGGAGATTTTATGCGAATGACAGGACCGGCAGTGAGGTGCAGGACGGGATCAAGGCAGACCAAGCCATTGAGGTTGTTAAGCATCACGTTGACCTTTCCCTGGTCTGTGTCATCTTTGACCTTGAAAAGAACCACATGCTCAACTATGGACATGGTGATATAGGATTCCTAGGTTTTGGTAGATAAAGTGACGGGCCTTGTAAGGTGTTTGAAAGAAGGGAAAGTGAGGGAAGATGGAGAGGAAAAGAGAGAGAGCTTCCAAACACAGCACTAAAATCAACTAGTAGTTGGACAAAAGCTAATAAAACATCAACGAACCTGCAAAATTGAGATCATATTGGGATGAATTTCCATAAAAATATAGCTCAAAACCTACAATCAAGCACAATTTCAACAACTCCACATTCAAACAAACCCTTTTAAAATTGTTGGAATCTAAAAATACAATCACCAAAACACAAACCCAGTGTTTGGAAATGCGTAAAAAGCAGAAACTAATAATCAAATCCCAATCGATGCAACCAAAATAATCCAAATGAGTCTTATTCATCCATGTAAACAAAGATAAAACTAATTACAGAACTAACTTAAGAAGCTGAAGCATATACCGATCAGAAAGCATAAAATAATAAACAGATATACAGTTTGAGAATAGAAAAGAACTAAACTAGTCGACTAACACTGACGAACCGGAGATAAATTATTGCAGTTTTACCAAACTTTGCGATGGAATTGGAGCCGTGGGAGGTGTTTATTTCGTTGACCAAAGTAGCTGAAGGGCAACGTGCGCAGTAACACATTAAGTGGGCCGGCACATTACTCAGTTAGGACGGGCTTAGGTAAGCAGGCCAGGCCTTACTTTTTTTAGACAATCGACCATTGTCGATGAGCCTCTGCTCCGCCAATAGCTCTACTGATTCTTAAATCGAGAGATACATCACATAAGTCAGGTAATTTTTTTGTTTAGAGTTTATATATATATGGCAGCAAAATCTTTGCCGTCGAAATATAATCACGCTTTCGCTACAGATTAGTGATTAGAGATTATCAATAGAAACCGATTAGAGATTGTAGTGTTAAAATGGCCTATGAACACAAGATACGTACAACATGAGTTTCCTTTTAGATTTGGTCTGGTGGGACCCCAAATTTATATGGACCATGTTTGGATTGACTAAGTCCACTTCTCGTTGTCTCCTTTTTATTAGTAAGTGGTTCTAAGAGTTTGTCAGAAATCAATGTCGTCGCCCCAACCAAATTCTAAACTCCAAAGCAGCTTGTTTTTTACTTCTGAAAATAAACGACTGATTTTTTTTTTTATAATTTTTCGTCCACAAAATTTTTTTCTATGATTTTTTTTCTTTAAGATTATATAGATACATTTGTGTTATTTTATGGAGTGAGATAATATAAATGTGCTACAAGTAGGACGGCTTCAGGTCATGAAGCATCTGCAGATACTGCTCCCATCTGGGCCGGGGCTCATCGTCACCCACTTGCTCTCTTACGTCACTTCACCTTCTTTTTTAAATTTTCTCTCTCTCAGCAATGAATGATTCCCCAACGTGGGAATCCACTGGCATTCAAATGCATGCTTGTTCTTCCAGTACTATTCATTCATTCCCCCGGTCCTCTACATTAACCTCAACAATAATACAATTTCTCCAATTTATTTTACTGTATCACTTATTATTATTATTTTCATTTTCATTTTTTTGTCAAGATCCATGTGTTCATATATTTACTTTCTACAGTAATTGAACTGTATTCCAAAAAATAAAATAAAAAATACTAGTAAATTTAGTGTAAGGACATGTGTTGTATTTAAAAAATAAATATATTAACAAAATTAACAATAAGAGTAATGGCCAATGGATGGTTTATTACTTTAATAGCGTGGACTGAAACTGAAACAATTTGCTGCCGATATGTGTATTCATTACATATAATTAATATTTTTTCTTATAATCACTTTTTAGCTAATGTTATTAGGCAGTAATTAGTAACTAAAAGGAGTTCTAAATCACCACACAAAAAGATGGTCATCGGAATGCTCAGCTATTAGCTGCCTGAGGGCCTGCAAATGTCACGCCAACCGTTTACGATGCTACTCTATAGAGAAACATTTATTTTATTCCTCTCACCTTAAAACTTTTTTTAAAACCTTTTTTATAAGATAGAAGTTGCTAGTTTTATTAAAAATTAGAAAAATATCTAAATTGTAATAAAAAAAATTATAATCATAATCGTAAATTGAAACACATAATAAGAATATTTTTCTATAATTAATAACACAAATACTAGTCACTTAAGATGATACAATGATTATATAAAGAAAATGTTAAAAATCTAATCAAATAAACTCGAATAAAAGGTAGATATGAACATATATGACCGCATTAACAAACGAATCACAAGGTGATTAAGCTATTGAAAGACCACCCACAAACTACAAATCAAAATCGAGCGGCGTATCAACGACCGAAAACGTGGTAAAAGACAAAGTAAAACGTGTCATAAAAATATAATTATTAAAAATTAAAACAAGAAGAAAAAAACGAAGATACGACAAAGTAAAATAAAGAAAAATAATAATGAATACGACAACCAACACTAAGACTAATGTTGTTGTTGGTCACAAAGTTAAAAGAAAAACTAACGACGACACTAGAGAAAGAGAGAAAACTAGAGTTTATAAATTAAAATTATTAATATAATTAATTAACATCTTAAATATATCATATTTTTTGAACAAGTTAGAAGTGATTACAAAATAGTATATGTTATAAGTATTATCACCCATTTGACAATGATAAATTATGATAAATTCATTTGTTAACATGTTACATATTTTATTATTATACGGGTGTCAATGATATATATCTTTTATTATAGATAATTACTTTGATTTATACACTTATTTATTTTTAAAATTATTTAATTAATTTTTATATAATTTTATTTTCTAAAATTATTTATTTATATTTAGAACATATTCATAATAAATTAATTTAACAAGTAAAAGAAAACATAATATAATTAGGTTGAATTCTGGAAAAATAAAATAAGAGATTTGGAAAATATAAATATAAATGATACAAGTTTAAATAAAATAATTTTATATGAGATTAGTCCTCGATCATCCTATTAATAATAGGAGTCTCCCATGTTTAAAAAAAGTAACTTTTAGTGTTCATATTGTTGACTTTATATTATTATATCTAATCAAATTATTTAAATTTGTTAATTAAATCGTAAAATATAACGTGTTGTTAATTTTTAATTGTAAAATGTTATTTACTAGTGGAAGAAGGCAATAGTTAATTGTTACAATAATAAAAAAAACAATTAGGTGTTTTAATTTGATCTATAGATAATAATCGCATTTTAACTTATTACTGTTACATGTCAATTATTTCATACTTTTATATAACAACTTTATTACTTAAGTATAAATTCTTTATAATTACATAAATGAATAAATTTAATATTTAAATATTATATTATTAATCACTCTATGTATAATAATTTATTTAGTTTACTATCTAAATTGAAACGTGAACCTACATTCGACTTCAATTTAATAATAAAAGTTAATAGCATCACACATCCTTCAATTATGATTCTCATTTAAAATTAGTCCATATACTTTTAATCATTCCAATTTCTTCCCCAATCTATGACTATAATTTTAAACGAGTCCTCAAAATTTTGAATATTTCAATTTCATTCCCAAATTATGATATTCATTATAAATTGGTCCCCAAACTTTTTGAACATTTCATTTTCATCCTAAATTATACGTATACACTAATTCCATCCCTTGTTAATAAAATTGTTAGGTCAAGTCATATTATTATATGTTTGAAAAAATAAAAATTTTAACCTATAATTGAAACTAATTACTTATTTTGGATGAACTTGGGGGATAAAATTGAATGATTCAAAAGAGTGGAGACTAATTTAGAATAAGAGTCATAGTTTGAGGATGAGTTTAGAATATTCAAAAGTTTTAGAACTAATTTAAAATGATAGTCATAGTTTAAGAATGAAATTAAAAAAATAAAAAAAGCTTAAGGATCAATTTTAATTAATAATAATAGTTTAAAGACATATGATACAATTAATTTAATAATAAATATTAAATTTAGTGTATTTTTTAATAAATTAATAAATAAAAGGAGGGGCAGATGAAATCATAAAAGTGCGTCGTCCGTATAGTACTGATTGAGGCGCGAAAGCATCAGCGTCAGATATCGTATCCCTTACTTTTTACATAGATTAGTATTTCTAGTTTTTGTCCTTCGGCTCTCGTGGCGCGTGATTGAGATGTGGGACCCAGGTTGCGGCCTACCAAGTAAAGGAATAATGTTATGAGTTGGTTCGGGATTATGGGCAACCTCGAGTCCGAACCTCTAGATCTCCCGAAGCTCAATTGACACGCGTGTATCTTCCATTCGACTGAAACAGGTGTTTATGGCATTGCTTCGTTTCTAGGTTGTTTCAATGGAAAAGAGTTCAAATTTCTTTTTCTTTTTATATGCAGGTTATTTTAAATTTCAGTATAAAATAATTACATTGGTTTTTTTCTTTTTATGTATATAAAATAATTGTCATTATTATACAACAAATATGCATCTTTTAATTTATTAAAATTACAATTTTATATAATATTTCTTAAATAGGCATCCATTCTACCAAGCATAAGCTAATTCAAGTTTTGAAATATTTTGTTTGAAAAAAGTACCTTGTATTGATAAATAACAAAGTAAATCACCCCAACAAAGTAAATCACCCCGATGACCTCATTAAAAAAACCTTCCTAAACCTATCGGAGGAAAAAGAGTGTACCTTGAGGTGATACGAGAATACAGTCGGGAGGGACATAACGCTATGACCCAAAACACATACCGCATCTAATTCCTATAACTTGAACCATAACAAAAAACCAGCAACCACACTACAACCTGTAAGCAAGTAAATACTTACACATATGAAGTAACAAAACAAATAGGTGCAGTAACCTACTGAAACAAAACAATGACAGCAGAAAACGAACATAGCACTAATGGACAAATAAACACAGCATAACATCAGAAGCCTTCAACCAAGAGCGATGGACTCGGGGCTACGAACAAAATCCTGCACATATGGAATCAATGTAGGCCAATAGATATTTGACCAGACCCCTACCTGAAATAAAACTTTAGTAAAGATCTGATCCACTGAAAACGAGACACCCTTGAACCGAGCTTGATTTCTACATATCCATATTACCCAAATCAGTCCAAAAAAAACCCAGATGCCATACCTACCGACCACGCTTCCTAATTCTTTGCGAGAACCATGCATGTAGCAGTTGTTTTACATTGTTTGGGATCACCATGTTCACTGACCACACCTTGCACCATCGTAACCATACTTGCCAAACGACTACACAATGACATAAAACATGGTTAATAGATTCCTGTTCGCATTTACAAAACACACATTCAGGCTGTTCTATACTCATAACTCATCTCTTTTGCAACTCTGAAGTAACCTGTATCCTTTGATGGATTGCTTTCCACACAAAAGCAGCCACTTTAGGTGGAGCGAACTTGAACCAAACTAATCTCTATATAGGGTCTTCCGACTTACCACAACATTCCATCATAACAGAAAAATCTTTCGGTGAATACCTGCCATGTGACACAATACTCCACTTGAGTCGATCCTTAACCGGAAAAGAACTAACAGCTTTATTCATAACATGTAAA